CGATTACTACCAATGGGGTCCTTGCTCAAGATGTGATAATATAAAGTCCTTGCATCTGATAGCTTTAGTCCCTATAGGCAAATGTCACATAATTATTCTTGTTGGCTAGTAATTGTCACACCGTACAACCTTCCGCAAGGAATGTGCATGAGCAGCCCTTATATGTTTCTAACTGTTGTCATTCCTAATCCAAAGAGCCCTGATCAAAATATAGACTTGTATTTGCAACCTCTTATAGACGAGTTGAAAACATTGTGGTCGAAGGCAGTTGGTAGGATGAAGAAGACTGGTAAAGTTTATGGATTTAGATCACATGCTATTATGGTATGTGGAAATCATGGCAAGACCACTTGTAACATTAATATTGTTCATCCTACTCCTCCATATCCTATACCTTCACATCCTACACCAAATGTAGGAGATTTTATTCAGACACCTGCATTTGAAGCTGTTAACCATGCAATAGAGGAGAAGATAGACAATGTATTCAGCCAAAAGATATCAGAGATGAGATTTTTCATACAGCAAGATATTTTTGGGGCTATTCGTAGTTTAGGTGAGACAGTCCCAACTCCAGAGTGGTGTGCTAGCAATGCAAATTCTTCCAAGCAACCGAATCCAAATGGTGGTGGAAAATAACCATGTTATTTCCTAAGTTTTTCCTTTATTTTTTATGTATGAGATACTTTAGAACTCTTATTAAGTTTATTACTCTACTTCTTATAATACTGTATGACTTTTGATATGTGGTTAACATATTGAACCATTTGATTATGATATGACTTTTCCATATATGGATTATAGATAGATTGAACCACTTATATTATATTGTGCACTTTAGATTTCATTTTCTAGTTAATTGCTTGATTAAACAAGATTTATTTATAATCAATATTTTGATTCTTACAAAACCATTGTACAATTTAGTGACAAAATTGTGAAGAAATTATTCCTCTGTGACTAGTTTGATTTGCGAGGAATTAGTAAGGAATTAATTCATCTCTAATTGTTTGCTGTCTTAATTTTTTTTGTTGCTAATTATAATCTATTATTGAGGAAATAGTGACGACATATTCCTCACTAATTTAGCGAGGAACACATCCCTTGCAAAAAAATCTTAGCTAAAAAATGAACTTAGCGAGGCATTAGTGAGGAATTAGATGCCTCGCTAATTTTAACGAGGATAATTAGTCCTCGCTAATTAGCGAGGAAAACATTATTCCTGCTAAATATTAATGGCCCGTCATTTAGCTACACATTAGTGAGGAAATTAGTTCCTCTCTAAATTGCTTTTATGAGGAATAGATCTAATTTAGCGAGGAATAAGGTCCTTGCTAAATATTGATTTTCTTGTAGTGATAAGCAAAATTTTAAGAAAATAACTTATATTCTGATTGGAAAGGAATACATGATACATAGAGTATGGGGTTTAAACACTTTTCGTCACTTTCTATATTCTTCCAATATTTCCAATGTATAATATCACATCTTATGTTTATTTTTGTTTAATTTTATTGAAAATTTCATGCATACAATTCCATGCTCATATAAACTTTATATCAGTAATTATATAAAACTAAAATGGATAAGCAGTAGTATGTCCAAGGATTTACTTTAGTGACTCGTGTAATTTTAAAATAATTTTGAAACTCCATCCAAATACATGGGATTGATCACAGTCTAATAAAATATAAAAAGAGGGATTCTTTTAACTATATATTTCAGAGAATCTTATTCTAGAATGTATACTTGTGGTTGCTAGAACTAGAATATATATCAGTGCGATAATTATTTTCTGCATCAAATTGTATTATATTATAATTATAAAAATAAGAACAAGGATACATACTATGCAACATCAAATTACTCAAAAGATTCTTAGTTAAGTTGATGGCATGCACCCACAAAGTCACACTCAAAACCCACTCAAATGTATAAATGTCGTGCCAAGTAAAGCAAGTAACGTCTCAAGTCCATATCTAATAATTGAACCTAAAAATTCGTATGATTTAAAAGATAGATGAACAAAATTAATTCCTTTTTGAAGTCAGTGTATAATATATTAAGATAATACACACACACACTCACACGAATATTGATTACACGTGACAATCCCCCTCTCTGTTTTTTCTCCCTACACATGTTTCTTCCTGATTTGATGGTTGGCTGAATCTTCCATGTCAGTGGTATTATATTACGCTAGTTAACATCTTCATGTTAATATATAAAAAATCTACAACAATGATAAAGCATACAATTAAAATTTAAAAGCATAATATCCACATCTACAAATGACTTTACAATTCAACCGAAACATGTAAATAAAAATAAGATGAGTTTTAGACAACGTACCATAATTTGTGTGCATGTAATTTATTGTCTTGTTGAGGTCTCCTTTCCATGATTTTGTAATGTGCGTCACATAAACTTGCTTCAATTTTGGTGTCCGAGGCTTCCCCTTATCAAATATTTTCATATTTGGAATGTCCTCTGCCATAACGATCTCTAACTCTGGGAATTTGCCCAAATCAAGCTCTTCACAGAAACTGGTGAGTTTTGGAAGATGTTTGAGTTTTGGAATTCGCCCAAATCCTCTCCAAACTCTTGAACAGTACTGCTCCTGCAAATTCTTCAAAACTTGTTCCTCCTCCAACAACTTGAACTATATTTTCACAATCATATGCCTTTACCGACTTCAGAACGGACAGGTGTTTAGCCACTGGAATGGAGAATAAATCTTTTTCGCCTCCGCACCAGATGATTTGGAGTGATGTCAGCTTTCTCCACACTTGACTCTGAGGTTCTTTTTGCCACAGTTACTTGATGGGTACATCACTCAACGCCACTTCTTGTAAATGAGGCAGTAGTGATTCAGAAGCAGAATCTTCATTTATGTCAAACAACACTTTAGATTCAACACCACCCACTTTTATAAGATACAGTTTCTCTAGCTTTTGGAAACAATCCTACTCATATGTATAGTAGATTAATTATCGTCATAAGCAATTTATGGTTGCCAGCCATGCACAGAAAATGAAGACTAGTTGACATGAAATATATAAAAAGGAAAACATAATTTTAGGTCCTTGTATTTTGCTTACATTTTGCTATTGATTCTTATATTTTTTTTTGTGCTTTTTTTCCCTATACGTTTGTTTTTATTATTTTAAGTACTTTTATGAACAAAGTATAAAAATTTTAGAGGGATCTAAAATAATGAAAAATAAAAGTATAGGAACTAAAAACACTGAAAAAAATATAAAAACTAATAATAAAACACGAACAAAGTATAGGAATTTAAAGTTATATTTTTCCTGTATAAAATAAACACACTCATTTATCAAATCCGGGAAGAAGAAGTTGGTTTCTGTTGAGGAAACATTCCTTGAAAATGTTTCCATGGCACGACAGTTGACTATTCTCACTGTTTAGAGGGATGAAAAGTCAAATTCCTCCAGGGAGTAGCATGAAAGCTTCGAAAGATTTTCAGGAACGATAGTTTTCAAATGACTGGAAGGTCGTTTCTGGGCCATTTTTGCTGTATCAGTGAAAATTTCTTCCAAACTGTCACAGTCAGAAATCTCAACGCCTGTCAGCATGTGACAGGTGATGAGGGCAGGTACAAGTGTAGAAGAAGACCACATCTTTTTACTCTTACAATCTGTAGGTTCTGAAACGCCAATATTGAATCATTCTTATGTATGTGCTTCAAGTTGGGTGGGCAAATACGTACCGGTTCTCTCAGCATTGGTAGAGGATTATTCAAGTGTCCACACGTACGACTTCCTCTAACAAGTTGCAGTTTTCTATCCTTAATGCCTCCAGATGAACGAGTTCTTCAAGTAATACAGTGGAAAGTGGACTCTCGCGTGAACCACAATCAATGACTTGTAAGTCACTTAGATTCCCAAGTTTGAGAATTCCCCTTGGATCCTTGCTCCATTTGGATTTCAACCTAAGTAGACCGGGCAGTCTCAATATCTTTTTTTTATTATCGTCGTTATTGAACTTAAAATTCCTAATACCTTAAGACAAGGGAAGGAACAGAGAAAAAGGGGTTATGGTTCTGCAGTAAAATCATTTAAACAACTCAATAATTTATAAATTAATACTTAAACTATTTATAACTCTATCTACTTACGTGTAATAATAAACAAAAATATGAATAAATTATTAATTTATTCTAATTTTCATCATCACCATTCTCCTAAATCATGAAAATGTACTTTTTATGTATTATTTAAAAAATATTTTCTTGATTACTTTTAATCTTGAAGATAGATAACCTAAGTCTAGTGGACTATTATATGAAGTTTATTTAAGACTTTTCTTCAAGAGTTGAATTACTAACCAGGCTAATAGAAAGGAAGTAAAGAGAGCAAAATAAAGAGAAAGACAAACTCTTATACACTCATGTAATGTATTTAAACTCAATGTAGTGTTATGTAATAAGGCAATTATGACTTGAAGAAAAGGTTTAAAATATGCTACATAAATAATTAGGATGAAAATTAGTCATATTATAAACTTGTATCCCAATATTAAGCTAGCATTTAAGGCTTGTTAGAAGAGAAGAAAAGGAAAGATATCAAACAATAAGTAAGTACAAGTGACAGGAAAAGCCTAACTTAAAATTATAGAAAAAAACTTTGAACCTTTCAATATTAAAAAGCCGAAAAGAGATTTGGATGTTGGCCACTTTATGCTAAAGTTAAGCCTAACAAAAGTCAAGCAAATTAGACCAAAATACTTAGTTGTTTAATGGGCTTTATATTTTGAAATGTGAAGCCCAAGAGAAATTAAAGTTCTTTTTGCCAACCCAAGATAAAAAAGTTGCTTGGCCCGGTTCAACAAATCCGGCCTTTGGCGAAGTTTAAAAAAGAAATTGACACTGGGCTTTGTATTCTTGAATTGAGCCTAGTAAACTATCCTCCTTAAGCTTAAAAGAATTAAAGAATAGCTGTTGTGAAATTAATTAAATATTATTGAAATATTCTAAATTATTGTAATATTCTTTTTGGATACAATTACCCATGAATAATGGGCCGAGCCAAATTATTGCAATATTCTAAATTTATATGATTTATAACAAAAAATGTGACAAAAATCTAGGTGATTAGAGACATAAAACACACATTGGTAAAATGATAATATCAAAGATTAAATCAAAAATTATTTTTTAATATAAAGATCCAACTATAACTTTTTAAATTATGAGCACGAAATTATGAAAACCGTGAATCAACTTTTCACACCCACACACACACAGTTATATTAACTTTTATCTTAAAAAATGTAAAAGTTTAGAATCTTTGGACCTCTTAGAAGAGTTTGGAATGATTCTTCGCTTCGCTGCAGAACAAGAATGATGAGATGACGACGAAAAGAATTCAAAGAGAACATATAAATACTTGTTCTATTTGGAGGCATGCTTGTTCATTTCATTAGTTTAACTTTCAAGTATAGTGCCTATTAGTTTTCACGTGGTTAATTATATATTATTTGGTTGATTAATTAATATCAAAAATGGGGGAAGAAGCTGTTCCTGATCTCAGTAATAATGTTACATCAGTACTTGAATCGATGAATTTGGATTTCAAGCACTTAGCTGATGGTGTTGCTGTTGCTCTTCTTGTTATTGCCCTTTCGTCTGCATATTTCTACTGCTACAACTTGTTTCTTAAACCCAAGGGTGATCCATTAATTATTTCTTTATTATTATTGTTATTATTTTGTAGATTAATTGATTTTTGTGTATTAATTGATAATTGATTTATTTCAGCTTGTTTGGATCGTAAGAACTTCAGAGAATTCAAGCTTGTGAAGAAGACAAATCTGAGTCACAATTCTGCAAGATTTAGATTTGCTCTTCCTACACCTACTTCAGTTCTTGGCCTTCCTATTGGAAAACATATTAAATGCAGGTCCTTTATTTGTTTATTTATTTATTTATTTTGATGACAAAATCCATTGGAGAAAGAAATATATATATAGGATAGATAGGATGAGTCTCTCTTCTTCCTTGTTTATATTGTCATTCTTTTTTTCTACAAGATTTTAAGCTAGAGATTTTTTTTATGTATATTGTTATATGAATGGATTAAATTCAAACATTGTCGAACTCACTTGAAAATAACTCTCCTAAAAGTATTTTTTTTATTTTAATAAGTATTTTAAGTTAGAGAATTTTGATTCACTCTTTATAATTATTTTTCTTATAAGGGCTTCTTCGGCTTCAACTTGACTAACACCCTCTAAATAAGAGAAAATATTTTCTTGTTGCCTAAAACTGGTAATTTTCAATCACATGTTTAGAAAATTAAATAATTGTGCGAACTGGCTTGCTTATCAAGTTTCAAATAATAATATTGATGTTTTGATTTTTGACAATCCACCAATAAGGTGTTGATTTTTTATGAGTCTGCAACTTTTTCTCATTACATGGTTATCTGTGGCTTTATATTTTAAAAAAAATTGATAATTTTCACCATCTTGAATAAGTCTAAAAAACATAAGGTCAAGCATGAAAAAAATCATATTTCTCCTCATAATTGCACTTTTTTGGGTAGCTGGAATAGACCCTAGAAAGTCTAGGTCTCCTCTCACCCATTCCTTTACCTTGTTGATTTTTCTCACCTACCAAACATGGTAGAAGAAAATCAACTATATTGTATTATATTTGCTCTTAGGTATACTATCCTAATTTTTAAATATTTTGGGATCTATTTATGATAAATTTTACCATCCCTATATTATTTAATATATATAAATTTTCAATTTGTCAATTTTTTTGTATTAAAAATATTAAAAAAATCAAACAGATAAAAAAATTACACATTTGTGTTTCAAACTGCTGTTCTGTACATTTTCTTGTATTTTTCCAGCAAGAAAATTTTGATGTTTAGATTAAAGATGAAACCTATTTTTGATCCAAACAAAATATAAAACTTGGATGCTTCATTATATTGTGTAAGCAGGGGAAGAGATAGCCAAGGAGAGGAAGTCACCAGACCATATACCCCAATCACTTTGGATTCAGATGTTGGCTACTTTGAATTGGTGGTAAAGGTATTATACATATATTAAGATTAAATTGTCTAACTTATTATAAATTTTACTAAAATCATATTTCTTTAGTTTAAAACATATGAAAATATGTCCTGAAACAAAATAAAATATCTTACATTCAGTTCTAGTTTATTTTATTAATTTATTTTGGACAATTTTACATAAAATTAATAGAAATAAGACAAAGGGACAATTGGTTTCTGATTAAGAAAAAAGTAGCTTTTAGATAATTTAGATATTTTATAAAAAGATATTTATTCTATAAAGATTTAATAAAAAGTATAAATTTTTTAAATTTGGTTATAAGAATAAAAAAGTACTCCTCTATTCAAAAATGTAAGGTATTTTTAACCTAATCTCATCCCCTACTAAAGTAGTTACCTACTTTCAAACTAACTCTATCTTTTTATATTTACTCCTATTAAATACCTTACAATAAATATAAAGTTATTATTAATAAGAACACTTTTAAAAAAATGACAATGATTATATCTTAAAAAACTAAAAATACTTTATATTTTTTAAAATTCAACTTATCAAAAAAATGCTTTTCATTTTTTAACAGAGAGTAATTATTAGTTATTTATTTTTTAATTTTGTGTTATCATCCTTCATTTCTATTTTATAAAAATAATTTATTATTTAATTATTTTAAAATTTTATAATATTATCCCATATTTTTAAAAAATTATTATCAACCATAGCACCATATTATTTTAACTTCTCAAAATAACTTATTAAAATAATTAAATGTTTTTTATTTTAATTATTTTTAAAATTTTAAGAAAATATTGTAAAATCTCACAAAATAATTTTCTTAACAAATAATTTTTTCATGAAATAAGCTAAAAAACAAACGGGTCTAAATTATATTTATTTTATATAATTTCTAAATATATAATTTTTGATACCTTACACATGAAAATAATTTTAAAATTGTTATTTTATTCCTCTATCAAAATAATATATATATATACTCCCCGTTCAAAAATATAAGGCATTTTTTTGAGGAATTAGATATTTAAAAATGTAAGATATTTTTAATCTTTCGAGGTGTAGTCATTACCTTTTTTTAAAAGTGCCCCTATTGATAATAATTTTATATTTATTATAAGATATTTAATAGGGATAAATATAAAAAAGATTGGGTTAGTTGAAAAGTAGGTAACTACTTTATTAGAGGATAAAATTTGGTTAAAAATATTTTATATTTTTAAACTGAGAGAGTATATATTGGCCAATATATTATATACACACACATTAAAGTAAGATAATTTTTATTTAAATGAGGAAAATGTAAATTTAACAAAACTCATATTAAATATTGTATGATTTATGTATAAACTAAAATGATATATATCATCTCAGATTTGCATATTTAAATTTAAATTTAGTATAACTTTGCAGATGTATCCAAAAGGAAGGATGTCTCACCATTTTAGAGAGATGAAAGAAGGTGATTGCTTGGCCGTCAAGGGTCCTAAGGTACTTTTATATATATATATCCACTTTTAAAAGTAGTGTAAAATTATGTTTTAATTACTTGTATAGGTTTTCAATTTTATTTTTAAGTATTTTTGGCATTTAGTCTCTCCACTATTAAAATTATATTATGAGACATCTTATTAGTACTATTGTGTGTGTATTCAATATTAATGTTCTCCTTTCCCTTATTCTATTTATTCAAATCTAATACATTATTGGCTTGAATATGTGCAGTTCTCTGTAACATTATATATCAATACATCCTCAAAAAGGAAAAATATCAGAGGTAGAAGGTCAAATATAAAATTACTTTCACATTTATTTACCCATTAAATACCCAACATCCAACTTTTTAATTTGAAAAGTCTTGAATTCCACCTTCACGTAAATTTGTTTTCCAAAAAGTCCTTTTGGATAAAAATTAATACTTAAATAATTTTGGGCTTCCTGAAAGTGCAAATAAAGATTTTTGAAGTGTTAATATGTAATTTGAACCTTGAATTATAGGTTTAAAGGTAATTTAAATCCTAAACTCATATTTAATACATTCTGAATACTAAACAATTAAATTTATAGCAATTTCACTTCAACCATTAAATTAAATCAAATGACCGTTACTTTTTAAAACAAAAGACGTAATGTACAATTTTTCTCAAATTTTACTCTCCCTTTATCCTTCTCTCTTTTGATTTAACAATGAGGACAAAATTATTTCAAATTTAATTATTTAGGATTTATAATATACCAAATATGAATTTAAAGTTTAAATCACTCGTAGATATATAGTTCAAGGTTCAAATTGTGTATTAATTTTATTTTAAATGTGAAATGTTGAGTTACCAAATAGGGCCTAAGTTTAGTGTCAATTTAGAGATGAATAATATGATGGAGAGAATAACAACAAAAATATTTTAATAATTGAGAGATTAAATAAAAAATTTTATCTATAAATTATTTTCTTGTCTCAAATAATTTGAAATTGTTTGATTGATCAACTATAAAATTAATTTAATTTAGTTTGTTATTTCCTGATAAGTTTTATCATATAAAAGCTCAAAAAGCAAGGAAAAGGAAAACCCATTCAATAATGGGCTATGATTCAATGTGGTCGTTTATAGGGACGTTTCAGTTACAAACCAAATCAAGCTCGCGCGTATGGAATGCTCGCTGGAGGTTCTGGCATCACCCCAATGTTTCAGGTACAATTTTTTTAAATAAATTATAATTATAATTAAGGACACACTAATAGCTTTTTTGAAAAAATATATTTTTGGTCTCTACATTTTACTCAAGTTTTATTATAATTTTTTACATTTTTTTTAATATTTTAGGTCTCTACACTTTTATTTTTCAGTGCTCTAGATCCTTTTATAAATAATATTATAGAGATTTAAAATACCAAAAATAAAAATATAAGGACTTAGAATATTAAAAAAATACAGGAACCTATAGCAAAATTTCAAAAGGAACCCAAAGTTATGTTTTCTTAGTTTTTTTTATTTTATAACTTATAAATAGTATAATTAAATAAATGCCTATTCTTGGACATCTACAAGAAATCTCAAGCAAATCACACCATTTGTAATTTATAAATAGCATAAATTTTATTATGGATGCATTTTTAAATTTATTTGAAATTTTATTTTTTTAATTCTATTTTATCTTCTTTGCCTTATCTCAAATATATTCTATTCTTCCACGTTTATTTTATTTCAATTTAACCTCCTAATTTTATAAAGAGTTAAGGGCCAATTTCACTTTTAAACTATATATCTAAAAATGTTTGAGATTTTAAACTCATTTTTGAAGTGATATTTTTTTTTAATTTTTAAAAATAGTACAACATCATCTCTACCATTAATAAAAATTAACTTTCATTAGTTGTCCTAAAATAAGAAAGAAAATTATAAAAAGATTCAAAAATTACAGACAATGACCTAAAAAATTATTAAAAAATAACTAAGAAATTACAGAAAATGATTAAGAAAATTTTCTTGATTCTTTTTCTATAATGTTTGAGGTTATATTATATAATTTGCTAATCAATTAACAATCAAAGTCAGCTCTTATTAACAATAAAGGCAAAGGCGGTGGCGACGTTACATCATTTTTGGAAGTTAAAAAAGAATATTATATCAAAAATAAATTTAAAATCTCAAACAAACTTACTTATAATTTAGGAACAAAATTACCACTTAATGTTTTTATGAATGTTTGCAGAACGTGCTAAAGAAGTCAGTTTTCTCCTATGCTCCGCTTAATTTAAGATCAGGTTTCAAAATTGTACAAAATGAAACATGAAATGAAAATAAGAAATTACATTAAAGTAATAATTTTTGAAGCCACGTGTATTAAATTAAAGTAGAATTAAACATGAAGGGTTATTAAATTAATTATATTTATTTCAGCCATTAATTAGGACCATGACATGCATGTATCTGTACGTGTTTATATTTCTTGCAGATCACACGAGCCATACTAGAAAATCCAAAAGACAAAACGAAACTGAACCTTATTTATGCCAATGTTACAGTGGATGACATTCTACTAAAGGTACAGTATTGTTAATTAGTGTTGAAAGCTAATTGTCCATGTAAATAAAAAGAAAAAAGAAAGAAAGAAAGAAAAACACACACACACAATGAACAATATTTATCTATTTTTTTCACAAGTCTAGAGAAGTATATGGGACACACATCTTAGATAAAATTTAAAAATTTAAATCATCATTTAAAATTATTATTATTATTATTATTATCAGTATTTTATATACTATATATATATATATAAACCTTGTAAATGACTTTGGTTTTGCCATATCACATGTTGATTTCTCACACATCACTTTTATTTGATATGGGCAGAATATTACGTTGCTGCTCGACAGTTAAAGTCAAAATAATGCTATTACCCATTCTTTTTTTTGTCTGGGTTATCTAGTAAAGATATCTTTGCATAGTTAGCATTGCCTTTGAAAAATATAAATTTTTTTATATATTAATCAGAAAATTCGAAATTTAATAGTCAAAGCTAAATATACACGTTCTTAATCCCAAAGCTAATTCTCAAAGGCTCTACTAATCTCACAACTCACTCTCACTTTTTTTATGATGACAATACACCCAAAAATGTTTGCCTATACTCATTAAGACAATAAAATATATATACTATCAATTATAACAACAAACATTCTCCCACTAAGTGAAGTTAGATACATGAATTGTACATATTAATCAAAAAAAAAAAAATTGTACATCACCATTATGCTCTCTACCTTTTACCAAGATTTTACAAATGCTAACTAAAATATTTTCATCAATATTTTTTATAGGTATTTTCTTTAACCTTCTTCTATCCCTTTTAAAAAAGCTCAAAATTATTCGTTCTACTTTCTTCACTAGCGTCTCCTTCAATCCTCATTATACATGTTCAAACTATCTTAAATTAATTTTTTTATCATTTTTCATTCAATAGGTGCTACACGTACACTCATCTTGAATTGTATCTTTACATGTATACCAACACATTCATTTCAACATTCTCCTCTCTACTACTTCAATTTTATACTCTTACGATTCCGTTAAAGCGCAAACATTCACCTCCATATAACATAGCTGATCTCATGACATTTTGATAAACCTTCCACTCTATCAATTATTAAAAGAATCAAATTTAAATTACTTGCACACATAAAGGTATGAAATTCGGTGCTGGCTTCAATCCTTTTTTAGTTTGGTTTCTGTGTGATTGGTGCAGGAAGAAATTGATGAGTTGGCAAGCAAGTATCCTGACCGTTTCAAAGTTTACTATGTTCTAAATCAGGTTTGTTGCTTTTCTTCAATTCCCTATTGCATCCTAACACACATCAAAAGAAAAGAAAATTAAGACATTTACATATGTTTCTTGTAATAGTGAGTATGCCCTCTTTCTTAAACTTAAAGCATTAATTTCAGTTTTTATTTTTTTATTTTTTGGTGAAACATTAATTTTAGTTTCATGTATGCATATGCTATGTCAAAATTATACTGGCAATAACAGTATCTTATAATGGTCGGTAAAAAATAATAATAATGATAATGATAATAATACCTTATAAGCTAAGTAAGTAACGAGGAATTCAATGCCTCTTGAGTTTGAATTTTGTTAATGAAAAGAGTTTTGGAACATTGAATGGGTCCACCCGACTGGGCTTGACTTAGGTTGTGGAGGGCGAAGTCCAAGGGTAGAATGCAAATTCTAAAGACTATACAAGACTTTTTTTTTTTTTTTAAAGAAAAAAAGTACATTGATAGTTATAAGAATAAAATTTATGAAAAATGAAAGAAAATGATTATCCAGAATCAATATCTGCTGCATTTTATACTTAATAAACATTATACTTTCATCTGAATGAAGGATGCAAGTCAGAAGGATGTTTACAAGCTTTTAATTAATAACAAAAGTTTAATTTCCTCCAAAACTATAAAAGAAATCCACAATCATGACTATAACATATTTACTACCACTATTATCACTCAAACAAGAAGGAAGAATAAGTTTAACGAATTTACTTTCAATCATTTGATTACCCTAATCAAGTTTCAAAGAAATATTCAAATATAAACAAAAAAGTCCATCACTATGTTTAACTTTGCGATCATTATTCACCTTACTTCTACAAGAAAACTAAATATTCTTTTTCACAATAATTTATTAATTTGATATTATTATATGCTATTAGAGAAAATAACAATTTATTTTATTTTCCTTCCCACACTTGGCAGCCTCCTCAACCATGGAATGGTGGGGTTGGGTTCATATCAAAGGAAATGATTCAAACCCATTGTCCTGCACCTGCATCTGATATCCAGGTATGTTTAATACTGCCTCCAGTCCAAAATATAAACTGCTTCAACAATAATCCGTATACCAATAAAATTCTTGTTCTAATATAACATATATATTGTTTTCCTTTTTTTTACCCTTAGTCCCAATTATCAATGATGAGTGAAAAGAATGTCATAAATTCACACAACTTAGGTTGATAAATGCAATGTGTAAAAGGGGAAAAACATTTCTACACCTACTAAGTTAATTATATTTTGAACCAAAATCAACTGAAAGATAATGCTTATATTTTGGATCAGAAAGAGTACAATTGGAATGAATTTCTTTTTCATATAACCAACAGTTTCAATATTAGTCTTTTTGTCAAAGTGATCAATAAAAAAATAAGATTCAAGTGCAACAAGTGTGTTTTCTTCAGAGATTCCCTAATGCATTTACAAAGTTCCAAACACTAAAACTAAAGAAGATTAACAATTCAAGAATAGAGATATTAATCTTCTCTTCTCATTTTTGCACAAGATTTTGCTTCACGGTCATATTATGATCCTTATTAATTGTTACATTTTGCAGATACTAATGTGTGGTCCACCAGCAATGAATAGAGCCATGGCTGCTCACCTTGATGCACTTGGCTACGCACCAAATATGCAGTTTCAGTTCTGATTGTTTTCCTTTTCTCTTTGAAATGGTTGTTGCTATTTTTTATTTAATGATTTGTATCTCATATATCTAAGAATTATAGCAAATAATAATAATAAAATGGAAAAGATTGTTGCAAGACAAAGTTTGACATCACTGCAACTATTGTCATTGTTCATTTTAAGCTTTTATCCCTCATTAAACCTTTTTTTTTTTTTTGTTAACATTAAACCAGAATGATATAAGTTATATGTAGTATAAAAAGTATGGTTTTAAATATTTCTATAACAGCATTGTTTCAGCTAATTGGCTAAGCATATATATAATCCCCAGGAAAAAAAAAGGGTGATAAAAAAGAAAAGAGCATGAGTAAATTGATGTTTCTGAATCGCAATAACCCCTTAAATATCTGTAACTGAACATGGATCAAATGTACATTATGAAACAGTGTGGAATCAATATCCAAACTCTTACCTCAACTTCAGCATTTGGATTCGCGTGCATTACAGTGTTATAGGAAGAGTTAGAAGCCCAAAACACTGCTGATTAACGAGATTGGGAAGCAATTTGGATATGTATTAAGTCTGTCAGCTCAATCCGGGAATGTAAACTCTGCAATTGCAATGACAAAGTCTTATCAACTTTTATTTCTCAAAAAAATGACCTCAAGACTGCCCCGGATTTTTAAAACAATTATTAGTTGCTACTGGAAAGCATACTTCTAAAAAATATTTACTGCCTGGTACTTAAGGAAGGAGAAAATTGGGCCAAAATCAAACTAGAATCATATGTAGGAGCCAAATATTAGAATCATATGTAGGGAGTCTTATTATATGACTAGAAAAATCAGGGCCTGAATATATATTACCTTATTTGCAAAAAAGAAGCTAACATTTACTACCCACGAGCATGGCTTGCCTTTATCCATGAGGCATAAATTCCATTTTCTTTCACTCTGCATAAATGCAAATAAAGGAATGGTCCATTATCACAAAAACTTCTTTTGTATATGAATGTAAGACTTGATTTTCTTTTCTTTTATTGGTCAAATATAAGACTCAACTAAAAACATGCACATTCAACTGCATAAAAACAAGAATGCAGACACAAATAAATTATATATATATATATATATATATTCATTCAAGAAAAGGCCAGGAATAAACAATGAATCTTTTAGGTACTTGATGCAAAGGAGTTAAATGGTTATATATTTACAATATAGGTACTTGATGAAAATGAAAAGTCTAGGAATAATAAACAAGCATTAGTAAATACATGCAGATTAACATTGCACATTAGTTAACTGAAGCCTCCCCCACCCCCCTCTTTTTTCCTTTTTTTTTTCTTTTCGTTGGGGATGGGGCGACATTCATCAATTAGTCAAGCTCAATTTGTCCATAAAGTATAGAAAGTTTACTTACAAATGCATGTCATCTTGATTGATATCAGGGAATAAATTAATATAAAAGCGAAACCCATCAGGGCTAATATCTCTGCAGAGTAAACCTGAAAATGATTTGACATTTTATCAGTTCATAGTTATGTCAACAAGAATATTGAAGAGTTGAATGGCTGCATACCCTTGCTCTCGGCAGCAAGGAGATGCTCCTTTGCCATTGCCGGGGCAACTCCTAGTGTCCTTGCAGCATCACCAGCACCTATCCCAGCTCGGAGAGCATCAGGCTTCAGAACAAGCATCCTTATTTTAGCAAAAACCTGCACCCAGGAGCCTTAGCTACATAAGTTTGATTTTCCAAGGGAAGCACAGTTATTTGAAATCAGAATACTCGTAAATACTCCCTCCGGTCCCATTTATAAGTCCAATTTTAGAAGGTGTATTTGGTCCCATTTATAAGTCACGGTGCGTCTTTTTAGGTAATATTTGAGAGGTATTTCCAAAATTACCCTTCATGAGAGAGAAAAAGTAACATGACATTACTTTTTAGATTTGTTATATAGGGGCATGTTTGGAATTTTACTTACTTTTATTCCTTGTACTTTTATTGTATTGGTATTGATGAGATTGGTAGAAATGACTTATAAATAGGACCGGAGGGAGTATAAATAGCTGGACTAGGGTTTCAATCACGACAGTTACCCTGATAGGTAAAATCACAAAGAGAGATTGATATAAACCCATCTTTTAAATAACCAAGTAAGACGACACATTGGAATTAAATAATAAATTGCAATTAATCAGGTAGTGCCGCAGATGCTAGCAGATATCCTAATTTCCTAACCTTGGTCTTTTCTTTTAATGTTTGTTATTATCGTCGTTATTGAACTTAAAATTCCGAATACCTCAAGGCAAGGGAAAGAACAGAGAAAAGGAATTATGGCTCTGCAGTAAAATCATTTAACCAACTCAATATCTTATAAATCAATACTTAAACTATTTAATGAAAAAAAAATAGCATTGAAAATTTATTAACTTTTTAAGTCAGTATGACATAACTTGCACAGTACATATTCTTTACAGTAATAATCCCCCCGTTTTATCCGGTATGCAAATAGAGTTTCATAACGTCACTTCCAGAAGATGAATGGAAAGATGATTTTTCAAAGGTAATCACAACATGACAACCTACATTTTTTTTTTCCGGTCAATACATAATACCTTATATTGACTACTCCCAAAAGAGAGAAATCGACTTTGAAAAAACAATAAAGATAACAGATAGAAAAAATCACCTCCTCATCGCTATGGGATTTATTCTGTATTACCATGACTCCACTATCAAACTTACGTAGTAGCACTGGGCTGAAATAATGAATGAGATAGTTAACGTACAAAATACATTTAAGAGAACACCAATCATCTTGAAAAAAGTAGAACTCCTTGAAGTATGATTTAATCTGACCTACTGACAATGTTTGCACTACAGAACCAATAAACAAATGCACCAATACACGGGTAAAAATCACAATGTTATACATACACATCAAACTTTTCCCAAAGCATGCAAGCTTGCAACAAGTCATCAGGTGAGATCAATTCTGCACGAAAAGCAGATCAGCCAACCAAAACAGGGAGGTATAGACAATTTTGCCAAGAAACAAAAGGCTATCATATCCACAGAAATATAAAAGCTAGGGGTGTTGACCAACACCTGTGCCACGAGCACGATTGAAGAGGCAGTAGATATCAATGAGGTTGATCATTCCTCCAGCTCTGTCAAGTGGAATTTTAACAAAATCTGCCAACTATGCATTAGCAAGAAAAAATTAGTATTTTAAAACTACATTGAAAAATGTGAAAAAGAAATCTGAGTCAAAAAGAACAGGTAATACTGTAGCATTGAAAACATTGAGACCATAAAAATTATCTGTTACTTCTATGTAATGATGAAAAACATACCAATTCATAAGCATGCACAATGAAAAGCCAAAAAAAAAAAGTATGATAACCATATGTCAAAGTTAAAAACCTAAAAATCCATACCAACCACCCCAAATATTAGAGGGAGAAAGTTTCAATGAGCTTAAGCCTTGCACGAGATTCTGATCAACATAATAACGAAGTCCTTCATAATCCATAAAAGCAGATAGTAGACGGCCTGTCTTCCAACCTCCATTCTCCTCACATAATTTGAACTATATTGCGATTTAAATGAGGAATCAAAGTGCAAATCATTTTAAAGGAAGGACTACTGTAGATCTGAATGGTCCTGAATGATGGGAGGAGACTACAAAGCAATAGATTATGGAGTTCAAAAACTAGTGAACAAGTGATTTTACCGTTTCTACAGATATCAAGAGTACAAAGGCACTTTAAAATTCATTTACACTTGTATGATTGGCTGGAAAGAAAAATGGATTCTTTTCACACAAACAGAAGTCAAATGTCATCTTCCGATCAAGGGCTTGGAATTATGCTGAATTTTTTTGGTCTCAAACCTTCAATCATCATCCTTGGAATTCCTCTATTAAACAAACTAGTAATATAAGGCTCCATGGTCAAATCCATTGCTCTCATCCATTCAACAAAAAACAATCTTTAAAATGCTTGGACAAAACAAGAAATCCTTCTTAAAATGAACATCTTAGTTGAAAAGCAATAAGACTTGACTGAATTAGCAGAGAATAAAAGAGAAGGACAATAACCTGGCGAGATAACTGCTGATGATACAAAGCACCAGCAGATTCTTTCGTAACAGGTGATATAATACCAACACTCAATAGCCAATCTTGCATCTCTTCCTTTGAACCCATCTCCTCATCGTTTGCTTCATTGGTTTGAGAATTTGATCCAGACAAAAGTTTTAGCCTCATTTTCTCTGCTAGTGTCACCATCTCTTTAGCCTTGCTCTGTAATCCCAACATCAAGCCAAAACAACTTAACACAAAAGTCCAAAACACAACGAGTTAATCAATAAATTAACTACAGAACTTATAGTAGACCTAACCACAATGCTGCCACGATCAAGTAGGAGAAAGGTGACATCTCTTTAAACAATATTAAGGTAAACCCGGCTGGCAAGCTTAGCAATACAATTAACAGAAAAATTACTTTTTATGTGGAGCATTAGAAAATATATTGAATGAATAATTTAACTCATCTTGCTGATATGGATCAGATTGTCATTTCCATTTTTATCTAAAAAGGACTGCTTGCTCAATGAGTTAATGGATAAAGGAACAATTTATAATCCATACCATGAGACTACACATATTATAGAAGAGCAAAAGTAGGATTTAAGATCCAATTAAAGAGGTGGTAGAGGAGGAAGGATTTTCGGACACCTCTCCTAGTGTGATCAACATGTAGAGTTGTCAGCATGCATACAGTAGTAACAAATCTAAGTTTCTGTTCTAAAGTTGTATCTTAGTAAAGCTACAATGATTTTAAGAAAAAAAGACAATAGAAAATGGGAGTGCTCTGAAGCAAACATCAGACAAAATTCTAAGGACATTAAATACTACAGCAAACTTGAGTTCTGGTGCACAATAAAATTCGATATATTCCTCTCTTCAATTTTCAATATAACAAGGCCATTGCCCTCATAAACTGCAACCATATAAGTTTAACATAATGCACCATTCCTTTCTGACTTCTCGCAATAGATTGTCAGAAATTAAGAGCATAAGTGGACGTATTACCATGAGAGCATTCAAATCCTGGAAAGCTTCCTGCAAGGTTCTATCTGTGCTCTCCCAACTTTCCTGCTCCTTCCTCAATATTCCCGACACACCCACCATCCTCAAGGTCCCATCACTTGAAAACATCCCGCTAGAAGAAGCATTCGAACCTGACCCAGAACTTGAACTCGGCTCACTCTGCAACTCCCAAGCCCTCGCCCGCCAACTCTCCCAAAATTTCGACAAGAAAACATCACTGTCCCCCTTGCCTCTCATGACGATCGTCACCACCACCGATCTGGATATCGAACCCGAGTCAGTAACCCGACCATCTGACGATAAAGAGAGCTGGAAACGTATCCTTGGGGAAGCAAACATGGATTTGAGAGATTTTTTGGGAGTGAAAATGTGGGAGATTGCGCCTAGAGGAATCGCGGAGGCGGAGCTTCCAGTGGCGGTGGCGGAATCAAGTAGCCACAGTAAGCGGTGCGTGGTGAGGATGAGGATGCCTGATTTGAGATGAGGAAAGGAACTGGAGGGATCATCTTCGCAAAGAAGATCTACAGAGGAGAGAAGATAACATTCAATTTCATTAGGGAGAAGCACAGGTCGACCGCTTCCGGTGAGCTCAACCGCCGGCAAGCAGTGTCTGGCCATGGGATAGTCGCTGGTCAGCGACAAGATTTGGCGTCTTTTCAAAGCTTCCCCACAAATTCTGAAGAAAACGATCTTGCGGAAGTACAAGTTTAAATCCTATGATTATATATTGTACAAGGGTAGGGAAAAATTACAGCTACTGGGTGGTGGAGTCCAAAAACATTGGCCAATGGCCATTGCGTTCCGATGGCCAGTGTGCGCTGAATCACGATATCAGATTCTTAGCAACCAGATTGATTTTAATCCCTTGCGTTGCTCCCGATAATTTTGACTGATCAAATAAGATGGGTGTTAAATAAAGATAAATAAGTTCATGGATATGTTGAAGTGTCATAGAAACAATTGGTTATAAATAAATGGTTACATAATTGTTGGATCAACATTGTGGAAGATTTTAGTAAAGACAACATTGGTGATAAAGTTGGGAATACAGGCAAATCTGACTCTTATAGGCTCGATCTTTAAGAGCCTGAGCCTAAAATCCGGTTCTCTATTCTGAATCATATTTTTTAAGTCTGACTCTTATGTGAAGGGCTTATGGTCGAGCTCGCAAGCTTTTTTTCAAAAAAATAAAAAAATAAAAATAAAATTAAACATTATAAATTAATTAAAATATTCTGAAATTAAAAATAAAATTCTCATAATTTTTTAAAAATTAAACAACATACATTTAGAAATCTAATAATAAAATTTAAATCTTGGTTAAAAAATAATTTATTTTTTATAAATACACAAACATAATAATTATAGAAAAATAAAAAATATCAGGAATTTTATACTATACACTAGTATTTATTAAATTATATTAAATCAATTTTAAAATAAATTAAAATTAATAATAATATAATATGTGTAGGATCAAGTGAGCAGGTCATTGGTTTCAAACATGTGTTCCACTAAAAAAAAATAATAATAATAATATAACAGGGCTTAAAGGGTTACCCAAACTCGAGCCCGAGGCTTTTTTTATAGGGCTTATCAGAGCCAAACCCTCAAGTCCGATTACTTTAAAAAAATTATTTTCAAAGCCTGAACTCCTATTTAAAAAGAGCTTTTAAGCTCAGCTCTCCAAGCCCGGCCCTTATTCCCAACTTTAATTGGTGGTAATAGACTTTGTATTATTATCAGAGTCATGGATGAGAATTTTTAATTCTTGAAAACTTTTAACTTTGGACATAGTAACATATAACTTTCCATATTAACTTTTAATTAACAAAAAGAAAATGATAAATAATAGAGTTAAATAGCAATGTGAACCCTGAACGATAATTTTAGGTGAGATTTGAATCATGAACTTGTATTTAATATATTTTAAATTTTGAACAATTAAATTTGGAACAATATTGCCCTCATTATTAATTTTAATTTGAACTAAATATCATTACTTTAACCATGGCCCCCACTCTCTTACTATAATATGTTATATTTTAAATCCTTGATTTTGCAAAATAAAGAAAGGTAAATTAGTGATTTGATGAATTAATTAAATTAATTACATTATTGGATAAAAAATAGGCCCATTGGATTTTTTTTTTTGAATATAAGGCCACAGCAAAGCCGTGCACAAGGACTATGATCTAGTTATATCTAAAACCATGAGGTTATTACATTCTATCGGAGGAAAATCTAAAATTATAATGTTGAAAGTATCATGCATCGATCTATAAGCTAATAGGTCAGCACATCTATTCGCTTCTATATAAACGTAGTCAAAGGTAACAATCCAATCTCTCATTATGAGATCTTTGATCTTCTTAATGATGCCTGATAATGGATGACTTCCGTGGTATCCTCTGTTGATAAGCGACAGTGCTTCCATATAATCAGTGTGAACATTGATTTTAGCTAAATTCATATTTCGGCAGAGATTGAGACCTTCGAGGATTCCTATAAGTTCGGTAGAAGTGCTTGGTTGATAACCGAGATGCTTGGAAAATCCTTTAACCCAATTCCCTTTGTCGTCTCTGATAATGCCTTCGCAAGCTACAATTCCATTCTTGTTGATTGAGCCGTCAGTGTTGAACCTAACCCATCCGTGTTCTAGAGGGTTCCATTTAACCTCACTAGTAGTATCTCTTCAGTTCAAGCAGAGGGCTTTAGAAAGGAGCTTCATGTCATTATTTATTTGTTGGGTACTGAAGAAGGCAATGTCATTATTCGATGTATCTTCTTCTAAATATAACTTTTTGCATCTATTCTTCCAAATATTCCAGCAAGCTTGTGCAAAGAGTCTCTACCATGGGGTTCTTCTAGTCTTGAGGCCTCCTGCTTCAACCCTTGCATTCCAAGTAATCCAATCCTGTATATTAAGAGAAAAGAAGGTATTAAGCTTATTATGATTAACAAGTTTTTTTCAAACCTCTTTAACTTCTTCACAGTCACAAAGAATATGAATTGATGAGTCAAAAGAGTTACAACCAAAAAGACATGTGCGTTGCTATGTAGAATTCCCAGTTGTATGGATGAGATTGAGTTGGAGACAATTTAAGGCGGCCTTCCATAGAAAGTATTTTATTTTTTCATACATAGGCCATTTCCAAATCTTACTCCATAAATCAAAGTGATGCCGATCTTTATGGGACTCCATAACCTTCTAAGCGGATTTAATTGAGAAATTGCCGTCTGAAGAAGGTCACCAAAAAAGGACATCTGCCTTACCCTGCTGATTAGGAGGTTGAACAATAGAGATACATTTGATCACATCAGAATTAAGATAATGGCTTAAAAGATCAAAATTCCATCCTCCTGTACTATTGCAAAAATCAGAGGCCCTTGCATGAAGAATAGAGTCAGCATTAGGAAAAGCATGCTTAACAAGAGGTTCAAGGAGTGGAGACCATTTTTCATACCAAAAGGATATTTGATTTTTTTTTACCAATTTTCCAGCCTACATGGAGCATGAATTTATCCCAAACTTTACAGATACTACTCCAAGTATACGAGCAATTATTTGGTTTGACAACCATCAAAATCTTGGGCTTATCACATTTATATTTATCATGAAGAGTACAAACCCAGAGACAATTAGGCTTCTTGATGAGGCCCTAACAAAGTTTCATGATGAAGGCAACATTCTAGTTCTTTAGTTTCTTAATGCTAAGTCTTCCTTCTTTCTTATTCATAGTAATTCTATCCCAAGACAAGAGATGAGATTTTTATTTCCATCAGATGAATCCCAAAGAAAATTTCTAGGGATTTTCTCTAATTCAAACAAAACATTATCAAGTAAGAGCATGGTCTGTATAATATAGCTGAGAAGAGCTGAGAGAATAGATTTGATAAGAACAAATTTCCCTGCCATGTTTAAATATCTACTCCTCCAATTCGCTAAGTGAGAGTTTGTCTTATCAAGAAGAGGTGTAAAAGTGATCTTGGACACCTTTTCATGTATAATAGGGATGCCTAGGTATTTTCCAAGATTGCCAGTAAGGAGAATCCCTAGTTTGCCACTAATCTGAGTAACTCTGTTAATATGGACATTTCTCAAGCAAAAGAGTTTAGATTTTCCAGTGTTTATCTTCTGTCCTGAGGCATTCTAGAATTCAGAAAGACATTATTGGATGATGACAGCTTGCATAAGGGAACATTATGCAAAAAGCAAAAGATCATTAGTAAAGAAAAGATGAGAAATAGGTGGACCATTGATTGTTAATTTAATTGGTCTCCATTCATTTTTTTCAATGCTACTGTTAATATAGTGACTTAAATGTTCAATACAAAGGACAAAGAGATAAGGAGAAAGAGGATCCCCCTGTCTAATGCCACGGGAAGGTTTGAACTCCTCAGTAGGTTCACCATTCCAGAGGACATGCATATGAGAAGTAGAGATGGCAATATGGATCAAATTTCTGAAATGTCTATTTATACCAATGGATTCGAGAGTGTCATCAATAAAGTTCCATAATAAGTTGCCAAAGGCCTTTTCAAGATCAATCTCAAGAGCTATGAATCCTTTTTTACCCATCTTATTTCTCATGGTGTGAATGACTTCTTGGGCAATAATAATGTTATCACTGCTTTGACGCCCTTAAATAAAACTGCATTAATTTTCACTGATAAGATGGTTCATACAAGCATGAAGACAATTAGAAAGGATTTTGGTGATGATTTTGTAGCTTACATTACATTCCAATCTCAAAAGTAGCATTTTTGATTTCTTCATTAGTCACCTCTCCGTGAAGAGATTGAAGTTGAATGAAGGAGAGAGTAGGAAAATTTTATCAGTAATAAGCTTAGGTTTGACATCAGGATTGTCCATGTAAAGATTATCAAAATAGGTAACAGCTATATTTTTCAATTTATCTTGGTCTTGAAACCCAAGTGTCATCCTTAGCTTGGAGTTAGAGAATTTAATTCCTCTTCCTTCTAATAACAGATGTAGCATGAAAGAATTTGGTGTTTTGATCCTCCTATTTTAACCACTTGCATCTAGATTTTTGAAACTAAATCAGCTCTTCTTGCAATAGAACCTGATTGTAATCTTTCCATAAATATTTTCTAAGTTCTTAAGGAAGTAATTATCACCTTGGATTCTGCTCTTGTCAATACCTTCCAGACGATGTAAGATTCTTTTCTTTTCGGAGCATATATTACCAATTTTACTCTTGTTCTAAAGGGGAGCAAATGAGACGAATTTTGAGACCCCTTCATTCCAATCATCTGTGCTCCAAGAATCTTTAACTAGAGGGTGAAAGGAGTCTTTAAGGGTCCAAGCAGCATGTCATCTAAAAGGAATAGTCTTGTGATTCTAGTTTTCCTTTCTAGTAAGTTAGATTCTAATCGGGCGATGGTCAGAACCAAATTTAAGAAGATGGAAGGAATTAGCTTGGTGAAATTTGAGTCTCCAACTAGTATTATAGAAAGCCCAGTCCAAACGTTCTTTTAATTTACCTTTCTCCTAAATAAATCTATCTCCATGGAAATTTAATTCAAGAAGATTAGAAGAATTTATGCACTAACAAATTGTTTCATGGATTTCCAATTAAAGTTGTCACTGCTAGATTTGTCTTCACAAGAAAGATAGGCATTAAAATCTCCAACAACAAGCCAAGGCTTAGAATTATTTTAAGCAATAGAATTAATAGAATCCTAGAGAAGAACACAGTTAAAAGGATTAGGATCACCATAAACACAAGAAAGCATATAATAGTTATTAGTAGATTTAAAATTGACCCTGCAATGGAGAAGTTGGAATAGTCAATGTTAACAATATTGTTGTTTCATAAAAGCCAAATGCCTCTAGC